TTGATTTCCAGGAAAAACAAAAACGACAGCTGCCCGCGTCTAGCGAAAATGGTAATGCTGCCACGTATCACAGACAAGAGGCACAGCAATACATCAATGGCATCAAACCTGTTATGGTTCAGCCAGGATGGTTGCGATACGATCATTCGCTAATGAATTTTCTTTGCGAAGCAAAAGCATGGGAGTTAGCTCTCGTAGTGGCAAAGGGACTCTCGGAGAAGTCGCTATCGGATCAATTGACAGTGGAAGAGGAAGAAGAATTTGAGAAAGGACAGAGGCCCGAGGAACCACCGATAGTGAAACTTGTCGACCCGCACATGCTTGCCGTGATTCATTTTCACGTAGCATCGCTTAAGCTGAAAAGACACAAACAAGGGGAAGCACTACAGCACTTGCAGATGACTGTTCAACGCTTTCAAGAAGTTTCTGCGGATCAAAGAGATACCAACATGTACATAAATGCCCTGCAGCTGCTAGCGACCGAATACCAAGCTCAAGGGAAATCCAACTTGGCCTTAAAAACTTTCAGAAATCTACAGAATCACGCATCGTCAGAACAATACGCTCGAATTTCATCTCGTATGGCAGAAATCTACATAGCAGATGGACAATTGGACATGGCTCTAAAAGAACTTGAATCTACATACGACCAATACGAGAAAAACAGCAACGCTTGTGGCGATAGAAGCAATAGCAACCCCAGCACAAAGAATACGATTCGATCGCAATTGTTACAATTGAAGGGCGATGTTTACTGCCGTCTTGGTCGAATGGACGAATCCTTGGAGGTGTATCAGCAGGCCTTCGAAGAAGCGCAATATCCTCCTGACAAAGCAAAACTACTATATATCATGGGGCGGTTATACAATCGGATGGGGCGAACTCACGACGCTATATCCTGCTTTGAGCAAGAGATGAAAGTCACACAAGTCGAATTGGGTGCCAATCACGTATCTTTGTGTGTCATATATCATGAGCTCGCAAAGCTCTACGATGAGGGATTGGGATTGCACAAAATTGCAATGAAGAAATATAAGAAGGCACTAGAGATCGAACTATCCGTGATGGATGATCTTCGTTCTACTGTCGTTTCGTGCAATAAGTGTGCTGACATCAGCTCCAATCGAATATGTGATAAGCATGCTAACATCCATTCTCAGGTACAAGGGCAGATACGCGAGACCAAGAATTGTATCGGACGACTTCATTACAAACTAGGAGATTTAAAGGGAGCCATGAAGACAGGTCTAAGCAGTGATCCATTTTAAGCGCACCTTTAGTGCTGTTATAGTAGTAATATATTTGGCTGATTTGAATTTTTCTTTTTTGCGTCATACTGATCTAGTACTGGAAGACTTGGATTCAATAGGTGACTGCTGCAGTAGTACTATGTTGTTTGAATCATGAACTGACAGTTTGAGCTGTATCTTGGTCCCCAACAGATGCTTGTTCAGAATGACAGGCATTTGAATCAACAGCATTTTAAAAAAGAATTCTAGTTGTATGGGGGAGTCAGAGGGTCCTACTAGTGGTATTTATGAATATACATGTAGGGATATACAGCAGCATTAAAAATGTAGTAGTACAACTGGATTGTACATTTTTTCTCTGCCCATTCTATATGATATTATTTTTCACAATTTTGTGTTTGGATTTACAGGAGAGGCCCCAATTGAAGGTTTGTCACATACCACATCATTAATTAAAATGTTCAAACAAGAGGGGAGTTCAACTTGTTGGGGTCATTAGTGTACCTCACTTTGGGGGAACAGGGCAAATCACCAGCAGAAATTAATTAATCAAGTTAATTAACTGGATTATTTGATTTAATAAAAACAAGAACTTGACGAATCTCTTGATTCACTTTCAAAATATAGTATGATGTAAAAAGAATTTTATTAGACAGTTTAATTGACTGCCTGATACTACTAGTATTCCCACTGTTTCTACTACAGCAGTTAATCTTCCTGTCAGCTGGTGCATAGGTGTTCAAGTAAGTGAATACTTCTTCTTCTTTGTATGTACTGGTTGTGCTACTACTACTACTACTGCTGCTGCTGCTGCTGCTAGTAGTAGTAGTAGTAGTAGTAGTGGTGGTGGTGGTGGTGGTGGTAGTGGTAGTACTGCTCCTACTAGTAGTACTCCTCCTTGCACTTGCACTGTCTACCACCACTTAACCATGTGTCATGATCTAACAAGAAAGGCAGTGAGTGCTGACACCGTAAATGGTAGTGGCTATATCTAGTAGTATATATTGTTTGGGTTTGTTATCTACTACTAGTAGTAGCAGTGATGAATTGGAATCAATATCAGCAGATTTCTTACCTACAGCAGGAGCCATAGGAAGTAGAAGAGTGCATCAAGATGCTGTTGTGTTGAGAATAAATTGAAAATAGATGGAGAATAGAACAGAACTTAGTAGTGAATTAAAAGAGAATACAATTCCCTAGTAGTGAATTAAAAGAGAATACAATTCCCTCTATCTATTCTCTTTCTATTTCTGAACTTTTGTGTACATCTTAGTGCAAGAGTATGGTAATGTGGTGGTGGCATCATTAATTTTCTCTATTAATTCCTGATTTACTATTCTCAGCCAACTGAAGGAACAAAGTGTCATTTATCAAGAATAAACCAGGAGTAAAGAAAGAATAAACAGATAATATGTGGTGATGTGTCACCAAGCTTTTATGGCACACGTGTACAATAGTAGGTCCTCTAGTAGTACTTCCTCCTACTAGTATGGCTCCAGATAAGAAATAAATACATGCAGCTAGAACTGTACAGGCCCTGGGTGAAAATTGGGCCATTACCATTAATCTAGATGGTCTACTCTTTGACAGACAGATAGACCAAAAATGGACCATCTAGTCCAGATTTTTAGACTTTCTGTCAACGCACAATTCACCCTTGACAGAGGATCTAAATCTAGTCCCGAATTGAGGAAAGAAAATCTAATCCAAGCATGAAAGTCTTACTGCACTTTGTCATATTCAAAAAGCAGGGGCCCCTTTTCAGTCTTACGTGGTGGATTCCAAATTCCCTCAAGACTAGAAGAATGCCTAAAAATGTCCATTGAGAGGACCCTCCTGTGTTTCATACTAATGATTCCCATTGTTGAACAAAAAAGTCTGAAGTTCATAGACTGTTTAGACTTTTAGACCATCTAGTAGATCAAGGGGAATGACCCATTATCTTTTCTCACTTTTTGATTGGGTTGTTGATTTGTTTACAACCAGTAGACATCAACCACTTAGCCATAATCAAGCTCTTCTTGTTCCTTCTTGTAAGTTGATTGATTGAAAAGCGCGCGATTGGGGGCTCTCCTGGCTGGGGAGCCTGCTTCCCCCCCCCTTATCGAACAAAAAATAGTTGAATTTCCAATTTCAAACAGTTTGATTTTCTCACGAGGACCAGGAACCATGTCAATTTCAATTTTTTGGAAAGAAATTATATTCCCAGGTCCCCCTCTGGGTACTGAAAATTGTGATCAGTTTTGATCACAAAAAAATGTGATCAGAAATAACAAATTTGTGATCAGTTTTTTGTGATCAATCTTGATCACAAATTTGAACTGTCTTGTGTACATTTTGTACTAGTCCCGTTTTTATATAAGATTTTAATACCCTAATATAAATAACAACAGTATTTTACACGTTCTTTGTACTACTACTAATAGTACACCAGTCCTGTATTACCAACATATGTTGTCCGTACTAGGATATCAGACCGTGGGTATGATTCATACATACGACACATACATAAGATACTTATCTACAATTCATACGCACCATACATGTATGACTCACGCGATCCCCTAGGATTCATATGATCGACATGACTCATTTCATTCACTTGCGTGAGTGACTCCTCGACTCATTCGATTCACACCTCACTCGATCCCCACAGCGATCCATTCTACTAGATTTCATAGTTTGTCGATCCTCGATAAGAGTATCGACTCACTTTTCTACTAGCACACACTTTACATCACTTTAGGACAGTCACTCCCACAGGTTATGACACCCTTCCAATAAAAATTCATCACCACCATGGTGATAATTTTTTAGGCGTGCTCTCTCATCCTTAATACGAACTCTACTGACGCAACGTCGACACACACCTTTGAACAAGTAATATGCCCTATTAAGAATTAACGCGACCTGCTACTAATATGACCATTAATGACTCAATATATATATATATATATATATATATCATATAAATCGAATATAAATATTAATGTAAGAATAAAGTACTACATATTAATTCTAATCCGTTGGAAAAAATGTGATCAAAACTGATCACAAAAAATTGTGATCAAGAAATTCATCAATTTTGTGATCATTTCTGATCACATTTTTTTGAGATCAAAACCGATCACATACTACGGATATCATAACAAATGATCGCCACACTAAGAAATTGGTTCCCATCGTTATTTTAATGATGCCATCCTTAATTTTTTCAGTACAAATTCTACAGAGCTCTACTGAGTGTTGCTCCCTGAAATTTTCAGTATGTTTTGCCTTCTGAGGAAGAAGCAGGATTGGTTCTCCACCACCAGAATAGTTGCAAACTACCTCAGTACATTTTGTACTGTGTTCTACTGGGCTAAGGATGGCATCATTAAAATAACGATGGGAACCAATTTCTTAGTGTGGCGATCATTTGTTATGATATCCGTAGTAATGGAAAAAAGGGGACCGGAGAATTTAATTTTTTCGAAAAACATCGAAATCGACATGGTTCCAGAACGTAATTTTTACTCGTTTCTTCGATGGGCTAATGTCTGGCCATCGTGCGTGCATCACTTAAAAAGCATCCAAAAATCCTATGACGTTGTTTACAACCATAGATTTTCGCGTTATGTTTGCGCCAACTATTTTTTGCGGGCAAAATGGAGTGTCTCAAAAACGATCATCCATCATCACCAGAACCTTTCTTTCGAGTGACATCTCAATCCTGCACATCACCATAAAAAAAGGTACGAGCCTAGACCCCGTCAGCAAAAAACTTTTATGATCACATCAACGAGAGTTTTGGCGCCTATATTTTCGTTCCTCACTCTGTTCGTCCCTTCCGTTTCATTTGTGGTGTTTGGTTCATCCCAACAGAAGACTGCGAAACTAAAGATGGCGGTTGCTAACGAAACAATGATGGACTGTCTTGAACCCCAGGTGCGCAACAGTGTGGCATGATTTAGATTCTCGCATCTTTGGAAAATTGTTAATATTTGATACATCGAATTCGGAACTGACTCAATATTTCTCATGATCACCCTCTTCTTCATTACAACGAATTGTTTTTCTTTCCAAAACAATCCGCATAAAAAACAATGGATTCTGAACTATTTCTTATCGATTACTATTTTGATATCATCTAGGGAGAATCGGCCTATCTTTATTTGGCCGACGGGTCCAATCCTATCGAAGCCCGATCTTTCGGAGCGCCCGTTTCGGTCTCGGGTGAAGTCGTTTTTAACACCGGAATGGTGGGATATCCAGAGGCTTTGACCGATCCAAGTTACCGGGGGCAAATTTTGGTCCTGACTTACCCTTTGGTTGGAAACTATGGCGTGCCTGACGAATCCATCGAGGACGAATATGGCTTACCAAAATTCTTCGAAAGTAAGGAGATCCACATTGCTGGTTTGGTTGTATCCAGCTATTCATGGAAGCACTCTCACTGGGCCGCTCAGAAATCGCTAGCAACGTGGTTGAAGGAAAACAATATTCCTGGTATATGCGGTGTTGATACTAGAGAGTTGACAAAGAACCTGAGAGAACACGGTTCTATTTTGGGAAGAGTGGAAGTGGTGAGTACTACCATTAGTGTAATAGTTGATTTCGACTTTTTTTTCTCTGGTTCTCTGATCAAAAGCTCACGCAAATAATATTGCACTTACGACCAATACGTTACGTGGTTGTTTCTTATTCATTCAGAAAACCAGTGAAAGCGATGACGACTTTGGCCGCCCGAGCTCACCAACTATGTTTGAAGATCCAAACAAGCGCAACCTTGTCGCTGAAGTTTCAACCAAAGAAGTTGTCGTCTATGGAAAAGGGAACTCACCGAAGATCATTGCTTACGATTGCGGAATGAAATTCAATATCATTCGCTATCTCGTTGACACACACAATGTTGAACTCACTGTAGTTCCCTTCAATTATGATCTCGAAGCGAACTCTGACAACGTTGAGTGGGAAGGCCTCTTCCTTTCAAATGGTCCTGGTGACCCAACTATGTGTCCCGAGACAGTCAAGTCAATCAAATATGCCCTCAAGTTAGAACCACCCAAGCCTATTTTCGGTATTTGTCTTGGAAGTCAACTGTTGTCATTGGCTGCAGGTGCGAAAACGTACAAATTGAAGTATGGAAATCGCGGCATGAATCAACCTTGCATTGACTTAAGAACTGGCCGATGCTACATTACGCCCCAGAATCATGGATTTGCCGTTGATTCCAAGTCGCTTCCGCCATTGTGGAAGCCTCTTTTCCTAAATGCGAACGACTTGACTAATGAGGGCATTGTACATACAACGAAACCGTTTTTCAGTGTACAGTTTCATCCAGAAGCAAGTGGTGGACCTTGTGACACGGCGTTTTTGTTCGAAAAATTTGTAGGAGAAACACGAGGCGAGTCACAGCCATTAATCTTACAAAATGGTTTGAGCTATGAACGAAAGACGTACAAAAAAGTTTTACTCGTTGGTAGTGGTGGTTTATCTATTGGACAAGCTGGAGAATTCGACTATTCCGGAAGTCAGTGCATCAAGGCGTTGAAGGAAGAAGATATTGAAGTGATTTTGATCAATCCCAATATTGCGACTGTTCAGACGTCTCAAGAAAAAGAAGAAGCAGCTCGTATGGCTGACAGAGTCTATTTTCTTCCGATTCGTCCGAATGTTGTCATGGACATCATTCGGAAAGAAAAACCCGATGGTATTATTGTCAGTATGGGAGGGCAGACAGCATTGAATGTAGGAGTTGAGCTTTGGCGAAGTGGCGAGCTTCAAAAGGCTGGAGTTGAAATTTTGGGGACTCAAATTCCAGTAATTGAAGCAACTGAAGACAGAGAGATTTTTAGCGACAAATTGAAAGAAATCGGGGAAACGATCGCTCTGTCTTACAGTGCGACCGATATTCCGACGGCTAAAGAGGCGGCCAACAAGATCGGGTATCCGGTTCTTATTCGAGCAGCCTACGCACTCGGTGGGTTAGGCTCGGGTTTCGCTGCCAATGACGAGGAACTCGAAGCGATGGCTGCTAAGGCATTTACAACGTCAGACCAGATCCTCATTGACCAAGACTTGCGAGGCTGGAAAGAGCTCGAATACGAAGTCGTCCGAGATAACAGTGATAACTGCATCACGGTTTGCAACATGGAGAACTTTGATCCTCTTGGAATTCACACGGGAGATTCGATAGTAGTCGCGCCTTCTCAAACTTTGACGAATAGAGAATATTTCATGCTGAGAAGAACCGCCCTCAAGGTAGTCCGTCATTTAGGTATTGTTGGAGAGTGCAACATTCAGTATGCGCTTCACCCTGAAAGCGAACGCTACTGCATCATAGAGGTAAATGCGCGTCTTTCTCGTTCATCTGCCCTCGCATCGAAAGCAACAGGTTATCCGTTAGCATATGTAGCCACAAAGTTGTCTCTTGGAAAGAATCTTGTTCAAATCAAGAACTCTATCACAAAAACAACCACAGCGTGCTTCGAACCAAGTCTTGACTACTGTGTCTTGAAAATGCCTCGCTGGGATTTGAAGAAATTCAACCGCGTTAGCAATAGACTGGGTTCTTCCATGCTTAGTGTGGGAGAAGTCATGGCAATTGGTCGCACCTTCGAGGAGGTAATCCAAAAAGCCTGTAGAATGGTGAACCCCAATCTTGCTGGTCTTGATGGGGAAGATTCCAAAATCGTTGATAGCAGTGCTGACTTAGAAGAAAAGCTACGCATCCCAACCGACGAGCGTCTATTCGCAGTGCAGTTGGCACTTGAGCGAGGATGGTCTGTTGAGAAAATTTTTGGACTTACAAAGATTGATCCTTGGTTCTTGTCCAAACTCTATAACATTGCAAGCATGAGGAAAGCATGCAAGCATGCTGGCAGTCTCGATGAACTTGTGAAGACGAACCCTCGGGAACGGCTTCGAAAATTGAAAATGGCTGGTTTTAGTGATCGACAGATTGCGATGTACGTTGGACTTCCGGAAACTCGGGAAGGGGAACAAAAAGTTAGGGATTTGAGAAAGAAGTTCGGAGTCATCCCTGTAGTGAAGCAGATTGATACTCTTGCGGCTGAATTCCCTGCCCAGACAAATTACCTGTACATGACATATTCTGGAGAGAAAGACGACGTAGATACCGTTGAATCAAGTGAGGAGCATATTTCACCCTCATACCGATCAGATATTCTTGCCAGATCAGATTCTCCTGCATTAGACTCACCATCCTTCATGCGCAGAGCTCGAACCCTTTCTACTGGCCAAACTGTGAAAAACTTACTGACGGCCAAAGAGCGAGGGGTAATTGTTCTAGGATGTGGAGCTTACTGCATCGGATCCAGTGTCGAGTTTGATTGGTGTGCTGTATCCTGCATTCGACAATTGCGTCGCGATGGGTTCAAAAGTATCATCATTAATTACAACCCCGAGACAGTGAGCACAGACTATGACGAGTCGGAACGCTTGTACTTCGAGGAACTCAGTCTTGAACGAGTCATGGATATCTATGAACGTGAAAATCCTGTTGGAGTTGTCGTGTCTGTTGGAGGACAAATTCCGAACAACCTCTCAGGGCCTCTTCGAGATAGTGGTGCCAATATCCTCGGAACTGATGCCAATGATATTGAGCGTGCCGAAGATAGGTTCCAGTTCTCGAAAATGCTTGACAACATGAACATTGGACAACCCGAGTGGTCGGTGCTCAAGTCAAAACAAGAAGCAATTGACTTTTCCAACAAGGTTGGGTTCCCTGTTCTGGTCCGACCCAGTTTTGTTCTATCCGGTGCGGCTATGCGTGTTGCCTCCACAGAATCTCAGCTGACAAACTTTCTTGAGCTTGCAGAGGATGTTTCGGGAGACAAACCTGTGGTTGTTACTAAATTTGTTGAAGGAGCAAAAGAAATCGAATTCGATGCTGTGGCTAATCGTGGAGAAATTTTGAACTATGCTATCGGAGAACATTTGGAAAACGCTGGTGTTCATAGTGGGGATGCCACAGTTGTTCTTCCCGCTCAGAAGCTTTACGTCAAGACAATCAAACATGTCAAGCGTTACGCATCATCCATCGCCAAGGCCTTGAGAATTACTGGTCCGTTCAATATTCAATTCATGGCCAAAGGTAACCAAGTGCAAGTCATCGAGTGTAACTTGCGTGCAAGTCGGACCTTCCCTTTTGTTAGTAAGACTTTCAACCATAATTTCATCGCTCTTGCTACGAAGGCGATGACCAGCATGGAGGTAGAACCGTACAAATTTTCCTTGTTGGACATTGATTATGTTTGCGTGAAAGCTCCAATGTTCTCGTTTACTCGTCTCCGTGGTGCCGATCCGTCGCTTGGTGTAGAGATGGCATCCACCGGAGAGGTTGCTTGTTTCGGAGAAACTCAAAACGAGGCATTCATGCAGAGTTTGCTATCCACAACTTTCAAGTTACCGACAAACAAACACTCCATTCTTCTGTCTATCGCAACATCAGAGAAAAGGTTTGAGTTTGCTGAATCTCTCATAGCTCTCCAAAAGTTGGGTAAATACACTCTTTATGGGACACCGGGAACGTCTCAATATTACAAAGAAAAGTATAATATTGATCTAAAGGTTGTTACAAAACCTGCGGGTGAATCCGATGATGGTCCAGGAACTGCGCTCCACGAAATTAAAGAGGGAAACATTGACCTGGTCATCAATATCAGCGATGGAACCGGTCGAAAAGATGAGCTCACGGCAGGATATTTGATTCGTCGTGCTTCTGTTGATTTTGGAACAAGTTTGATCACCAACGTAAAGTGCGCTGTTGAATTGGTCACCTGTCTGGAACGCGGCATGGACAAGAAGGATGCATTCGAACCAAGACATATCGGAGAGTATTACAAGATTCCTTCTGTTGGTTGGACGTTAGACCAATAAAAATTGATACTCACCACCAGTGAATGTACTAAGCGCATCAAAGTAATGAAATACCTGCATTTTGAGTTCCTCTTCAATTTTCCAATTATCATTGTGACGAAGTGAAACCAATCACATCTCCGAGAGCAAGAATGAAGCGTACTGAACACGGTTACTATGAATTCAATTGGTAAATTAGCGCGTCTCATACTGTAATTACTTATCATAAAATACTGTATTACTTCGTACTAAAATCTAAAATCATAATGAGAAACTGTTTTTCGCAGGTCTCATGGTAACCACTCTTGAAGAAGGACGCGATCGTAAACGAACAGTAATCGACTGTAACACTAGCCATGTTCATTTAAGACGAAAGATACCAGCTATTGGTACCTAAAAACTTCAGATAATGAGTTCAAGAAAAAACATTCTATTTTACACAGGTAGACCCCGTGCTACACCCATGGGAATAGGCTCACGTGATGAAATCACTTGCAAGGAACCGATTACTTCAGGTGATAATGACGCCAACTCATTTTCCAGCTTGACCCAAGGCGGAGATTTCCTTCTTTGCTCCCTGAATGCCACTTTCCCAGGCGGAAGCATTGTATTTGAATTCGCTTTGGGCAAGGAGCTTAGACTTTGTTGGTTCCTTCAGCCCCGATCGGACAGCACCCGCTGCTCTGTTGACGTACTACAAACATGCGGGGAAAAAAACGAGGAAGAATAAAGAGCGAGAAATTGGTGAGATTTGATATTCTGAAGAAACAAAAATCTGTCGGAATACATGAGGAATGATACTGCATCGACAACATAATCATTTGTCCAATCTTATTGTTCGATCACACTTGACTAGGTCGATTCGAGAAAACAGCTTCAGTGACCCTTGGCGACAAAAAAGTGATGATCTCCGCAAGATACTGAATCAACCAAGCACTTAAGTCCCTCACGACATCGTTTCTTACCTGTAAGTAGGTCATTCCAGCAATGCGCCAGTAGGTAGTCGATGCGGGAGACATGATAGATCGTAACTTGTCCTAATGCAATTTCGTTGGAGCGATGTAATGGTGTTAGCGAGTTGGCGCTTGAGCAGTTTTGATTAAGCGGCCGCTGCTCTCTGTCGTCAAAATCAGCGCTGGGCCAACGAAAATCATGCGTAAGATAGTACGTAGGGTACGTACCAAGTACCCCAGTCCTGCAATTTTTTTCCCGTATCGTTTTGTACATAGGTAGGTAGTACAGTACTCTACAGCAATTTATCGTCGATGATTTGACTCGTTTGATCAAAAACTAATCATAGCACTTTACTTTACTTCGTACGTACCAGTACTTCTTACCGAAGTAAATTACACCTAAGTTTTAGAGTAAGTAGTACGAGTACGAGTACTAGTACTCGTACTGGCAGTGGTACTAGTCATAAGTTACCTTAATTCTTGTCTTGTGCTGTACGTAGTGCCGAAGTAATTGGTTGCGGCCGCCGCCGCCAAAAAAACTTTCTGTACTACGGTGCAAAAACTAGGTTATTGCTACTAGTAGAATAACTTGTCACAATAATGACTGAATGTTTAAGTTAAAAATGAATAATTTATTTTGGTAAAGGTACTACTAGTTTATTTGCAAAAATTAATATACCKGGGTTTGTACAAATCTACACTAAAAAAAGTTTCTTTTTGTTTCCTCGGTAAGTCCAGGGCAGTAAGAATTCTTCAAAGTTACTGCTGGCTACTACTAGTAGGCGCACTAAAGATAGAGATAGTAGTGAAGTGCAGTGCACCATAGCCAACTCATACGGGTGGTGGACATGCGGTTTGAAACCAGAGGCATAGCTATTACTAGTAGTACTAGTAATAGAAGTATTAGTAAACCTAAATGCTAAAGTACTTGTTTACTGTGTGCACTTATTCATTTATACCATTCCAAAATATGTGTTAGTCACACAACCTTGTTACTAAGCAGTGAATTCACCACAAGCTCAGCACCAATACTAGTACTACTACTAGTAGTAGTAGTTTTTGGTGACGGTGGGCAATTTCTTGTTGGATGGTGTGTCTTTATGGGGGTCACACCAAGTAAGTAGTAGTAACAGCAGAAGTAGCAGAAGTAGTAACAGTAGTAGTAGTACTAGTAGTAGTAGTGTTGCGTTACTAAAAATTAAGGTCACACCGAAGCGTTGCTAAGAAGCTATTGATTGTATGATCATACCGGTACATATGAGTACAAGGAAAAACCTGAATTGATTGAACAAGTGAGAAATCACTTTGAATTCTTGTGTAAATAACACAAGGGGATGAAATCTGGCTTAATCAAACATGATTTCGATGCTTGCTCCAACATTTCTGAGCTCAATTTCCAAGCTGCAGGAAACCACACTCAAAACACTCACAAAAAAACTAGACAAGATGGACTCAAGCTTAATAGTAAGCATACACTCCTCTGACACCAGAATGAGAGATCCAATCAAGGGGCTGATTGAATTTCAATCTGGCATCACGAGTGCCTCTCAAGCATCTGCTTGCAGCTTTTGCCAAAGCAAAACCAATTCTTGATCTGACAAGGCCACATACCTGAGAGTAGTTCCTGCCCCATTTGAAAGCAAGCCTGGAGGCAAGCTGCTTGCAGGCTGCAATTGCCTCTGGGCCCTCCATGTCATCAATGGAGTAAACAAGAGGAGTGAAGTGGCGGTGGGCCTCATGACATAGGTCCTGATACTTTTTCTTCTTTTCTTGTTCCTGTTGCTGGAGCACCCACAGTAGAGACTTCTTCTCATAGGATTCTTCATCAGTATTGATGATTCTGATGTCAAAAACTGTGGTTTTTCCTTGCTTCCAAAATCCATGCACTGCAAGATTGCCTCTGAGTTCTTGTGGTGGAGGAGGGGTATTATGTTGGTGTTGATTCCTTGCTGGTGGTGGCTCATAGATTGGTATTTGTTGTTCATCAGTGACATTGCTAGGCTTCAAGGCCTTGGTACAGAATTGATGCCATTAACCTGTTATGTCGTTGTGGCATTGCAGGACAAGCCCTCCCTTTTGGCAGGTCATGGCATGTTCAATGGTGAAGCTTGCACTGCATCTGTTGCACCTCTTGGGGAGGTGGAGCGGAGTCAGTCCAAACCTCAGTCTGAGGTTGTCCCAATATTCTTTGGCAGACAAAACAGTCCCATTTAGGATATGGGGTGTTGCAGTCAGCCATGAACCAGTTGCTTGTCCTCTGTGGATGCTGCGTTGACTGACCAGGGGGGACCTGGTCACTCTGAGGGCATCTAACAATCCTTGGAAGGACTCCAATCTTTGTTTTTGACGCTATCCCGGGTGCCATTGAATGGAGTCACTGTAGGTTTGTGCATCAATTGGTTCGGAATTTTGGAGAGAGGCAATCAGGTCTTTGGTGGCACTGACAGACATGTCAAAATGTGCCTGGGCTTCGGCCTGGGGGTCCGGCACTCCGAGTCCCGAAAATTTCACTGGGAAGGCCAGTAAATCTCAGAGATTCGTGGTGTTTTTGACTGAGTTGCCCAGTAGTGCAGGCAAGAAGTCCTCAGCTAGGGCCTTTTTGACGGGTGCAAAAGAATCTGCCACACCAAGAACTACGCATTGAAGGTAGGTCCACTCGGCCTGCAATGACTTTGTTCAACCGGCAAACACAGCTTGCGGATATCGGCAGGCAGTGCCTGCAAAGAGACAGATGCTTTTGACCCATTTGTCAATCTGGGGCTTGAGCCATTCCTTCCTGGCATCTGCAGTACCAATGAAACTGCCTATGTACCAGTGTAAGTTGAATTTTGGTTGTTCTGTGTCGGTGCATGGGCTCCCCAACAAAAATACTTTTTGAAGGCTCTCGAAAGTAACCCCAATCTGGGCCCAATTGGAGGAGGAGGTGCATTGTACCAGCAATTTTGGAGACTCTCCCATGCATGGCAGCATCCTCAGCATTAAATGGGATGACCACTGTTGGAAATTTAGCTTGAAGGATTTTGGCAAGTGGGACCAAAGCCAAACCGTATAGGATCATCAAAAGTGGATCCCCTTGGGTCACACCTTAGCGTGAGGAGAGAACTGTGCAGGGGTCTGTCCAAGATTTTCCTTGGAGAATCAGTTTTGCCAAATGCTGGTAGCAATTGAAACAGAACTGGGCGCCAACTGGCCAGAGATGGCAAATGGTCCAGAAGAGATCCTTGCAACTGATCTCATTGAATCCGTTCCTTGCGTCAACAAGTAGGGTGCCCTCTGGATCTTTGGGATCCTCAGGACGCAGTTTGGGCGGTGGTGAGTTGGTTTGGGTGGCTCTGGGATCCCCAGTTTGTTGTGGTCTGTCCATCTGTTCATTGTTCTGGCGTTGTTGGTGTGACAGTCTGGCTGGTGCACAAATGTGTGCCTCTCTGATGACGTGAGAGGCACCTTCGATACCTGCACAGGTTAAAATTTCCACACCTGTCGGTGGCAAGTGGACCTGCAATGTGAAGGATACACTTTGCCATGAGTCGCCTGTAAATCTCACCTATTCCAACAGGTCAAACCACAGGTTGTTTGTCTGGCGCCATGAGGCAGCACGCCATAAAGGCACAGTACGTAGCCCATGGGGGATGATGATTTGCGAGCCAATTTGTAAGGAGCACAAATTCCTCGCAGAGCAGCTTTGAAAAATTTCCAAAGCAAAGGAGCCATGTTTTGTGTTCCTCCCTGTCTGTGCCACCAGGACCAGCAGCACCAGGAAGTTTGGCACCAACCAACTCAAAAATGTCCTGTGTTATACTTAGTGGCATTGGTTTTGGTGTGTTGGAGTTATGTTCAAAAACTCCATCCGTGGTGACCAGCTTTGACAGATTTTGCAGGGGAGGATGCTTCAATTTCAAAATGTCTAAAA